CCATATATCCTAGACAGGCATTTCTACCAGGATAGATGTTCTTAATTAAAAAAAAAATTTCAGCCTCAAAAATAATTATAGTGGAAATAATCAACATTTTCTTAGGCTCAAGTACACTGCTGTAATTTGGATTTACTATGAGTCCTTATAATTCTCAGAACAGCTAGGCAGCAGTCCTTTAATCCCAGCAATTGGGAGGCAGAGGCTGGTGGATCTCTATGAATTTAAGGCCAGCCTGGTCTACAAAGTGAGTTCTAGGGCAGCCATTGCTGTTACACAGAGAAACCCTGTCTCAAAAAACAAACAAATAAATAATAATAATTCTCAGTATAATACATTTTATAAATATAAATATAAATTTAATTTTCAGTGGTAGGCACCTAAAAGAAAAAGAGAGGAAAATAAAACAAAACACCAGAGAATTCCTTTCCCTGGAGCTTACAGGCAGTGAGCAACAGAAACAGGGCTAGTTTGAACAAAGATAAAAGTACTGTTCTTTGGATTTCGAATGCCTGGTAGGCAAAACAGAATACTACATCTAAATAATGACTTTATACTGTCTATACTCTGAAAGAATATTCATATACTAAATATACATTGAATTAGATAAATTTTCAAAATATTTTTACTTTTTTACTTCTTGTGGTGGTTTGAATAGGAATGGCTCCATAGGCTTAGTCACCAGGGAGCAGCACTCTCTGAAAGGATTAAAGGGATTAGGAGGTATGGCCTCCTTGGAGGAAGTATGTCAGTTAGGGTAGGCTTTGGGGTTTCAAAAGCCCATGCCAACCCCAGAGTCTCTCTCTCTGCTTATGGCTCAGATCAAGATATAGCCTTTAACAGCTACTGCATGTCATCTTAGTTTTTACCTGCCTGCATGCCACCATGCTTCCTGTCATGATAATGGACTAAGCCTCTGAAACTATAAGCTAGCCCCCAGTTAAATTAAGAACTACCTTGGTCATGGTGTCTCTTCACAGAAACAGAAGATTGACAAAGATACTTCTTAAAATATGGCTGCAAAAATACTCTTGAAAACATATGTAGCTCAAACTGTATTTCTATTGGGTGGTATTTCTAAAGGAATTTAGCTTTGGAGTAGAGAACAATACTGAGAATGAAATGACTACACATAGTGAGAGAATAGAGAAGATTGTCTCACTGAGTCTTAAATCTTCACTTTGTTCTCATAGGAAGATGGCTTCATGAAGAAGTTTGAACCTAAATCTGGCTGGCTGACCTTTCTGGAAATGACAGGACAGATCTGGGAAATGCTCTTTTTCTCCTCAAGCAACACTACTGACCAGAGAGACAATGGAACCTGTGACAATGGTGACCAGCACTTAGTACGTCCATTTGCAAACAACTCAGATGACAGGACTTGACTTTCCAGAGTTGCGGATGTTTTGTTCCCACTTTAATGAATAAATTACTGATATTTGTTCCTGGATGTGTTTCATGTTTTAAGTTTTCGAGTCTGCCTGGAACTCCAACGATACTCCACACAGGGACAGGTACTGAAGTAAGGACTGATTATGACCTGGAGAGCACTGTCTTTTCTTCCTCTGCCATGAGGTAGAGACTCTCCCATAATGCTGTGTCTGTTAGCCAACATCATTCTGTGTCACCAGGCTAAACCGTATGGGGGCTAAAATCTGCCTCCTAACTCTTTTCAGAGTCCACACTTTCTATATCCCTAGCGGCTTACAGTTTCTCGTTGATGCTCTCTTCTCAACTTTCCTGGCCTTTCATTTGGGCTTCATAGATAGGATAGTCAGATATGCAGCATTGGGGTCAGAAAAGATATCCTAAAAGGAAGGACTCAAATCATTTTTCTCTCTGACCTCTTGCCTTCTTTTCTCTCAACCAACCCCCCCCCACACACACATTTTCCTCCAAGACAAGATACAAAAAGTAGAATTCACTTTCCCTGAGTCAAGTCATAATCAATAGTCAGACTATATATATGATCAGTCTGCCTTTCTAGTTGTCAGGAAGGGATCACTTCTATTTTTGCTCCTACATCAGGAAACTGGAATGGTTTGACTAAAAACAGTTAAGTGAATGAATATCAAGTCATTTGTAAACTTGATTTTTGTGTGTGTGAGAAAACTGTCTTTTGTTAGACCATGTTCCAATTTTTAGATCAAGTTTGATGGCAATATAGAAATCCTCTATTTAGGTCTAGATCATTTGCATTACATTTCCCTTGAGACCATTAATAGATTCAATAAAGACAGAACTCCTTTTTCCAAGGCCAGGTACATCTTTATAAGGGATCTCAGTTATCAACACTACCTCTGCGATGTGATTCCTGAGAGAATGGAGATATGGGACCAAGTCAATAAGGACCTTAACATCTGATCCTTCTGTTTCCATATCCTCAGGGCTAGGATTACAGCTACATTATCACCAGCAGGCTCTGTGCATGCAAGGCAAGCACTCTAGCAATGGTGCTTCATCCTAAACAACATGGACTTTTATTTTTTACCACTTTTAAACTGGAGAAGGGAAAAGGAATAAGCAAGAAGATGAGGTAGGAAGTTACTTAAAATCCTATTGAGGTGAATCAGAACAAGATACCACCTTTGACCTTTGCTGCCCACACTGATCTACTTATTAGAAATGTTCCAAAGCACCCCAAAACAGTGCCACCAGATGGGGACTAAGTGTTCAGACACATGAGACTGTGGGTGGGGAATTTCATATTCAAACCATGAAACCGTGTTTAAGACACAGTCTCCCTTGTGTAGCTGATACCGAAATCCTCCTGCCTCAGTCTTCTGAATACTGATATTAGAGGTGTGTGAAACCAATTCAAGTTATCCTATGTGAGGTGTTTTTTTTTTTTTTGGTTTTGTTTTGAGTCTTCCTATGTACCTATGTAGCTCAGAATGGCCTAGAACCTTCAAGGTTCAGATATTAGCCTGTAAGACCTTTAACAACCTATTTTCTATACAACACTTGATCTATTCTTTTGTTTCAGGTACTCTACAGTTTCAAGTATAATATCTTTCTTTAGTATCTGACACCTTTATGTTATTGAGTCTTCCTATAATTTTTATTTTTGCTGAAAATAATAGCTCCAGATGGTTGAAAACATTGGGGAAATGGAGATATTACCGATTCTGTCATGAAGTCTTACCTGTGAGAGGACATACAGAACCCTCTGAAGATTCATAACCCTAACAAGCTTTACACCTAAGGTTGCATGCATTTATAGGTGAATATATATATATATATTCTTCATGAAAATGTACATATGGAACTAAAGTATTTTTGTCAAAGACTGGGATTAAGTAAAAATGCTTTCTCCCATGCCAAACTGAACAAAGCTATCATTACTTCTGCAGCACTGGCAATCAAACCAAAAGCCTTGTATCTGCAAAGCAGGCACTTTACCCCTCGGACAGACTATGTATTGCTGAAGGGATGTGCCTAATAGGAAGCCACATAGAATAGCCAGGGATATCCAGAAAAAGCCTGCCTCCAGAATTCAACAGCAGCAATTTATCAATAGTAACCATTTTTGTGTGTGTGGTGTTGGTGATAAAACCTAGGACCACATGCACGATAAGTTTTAAATTTCTTCTGCAGATTAATACTTGCTGCATACATTGATTTATGGTAATGATTCTCAAACATTAATATAGATAGAAACCACCTGAGGACCATTTGGACTGCCTAGGTCTGGGAATGGCTCAGGATTCTCCATACTTGACATGCTTTGGGGGACACTGATCCATAGACCACACTCATGTTCAAGTATTGCTAAGTGGATATTACGTGGCCACACTGAACTGAATTGTTAGGACTATAAGCGTAAAGATGAGACCACAGATGTAAGTGAATTCACTGCTTGTTTTACAGTCCATGGTAAGAATTCTATTCATCTTTGTTCTCCCTCTTCTGCCTTGCTTTGTCTTCGTGCGCTTAGATTTTACAGAAATGAACTATATACCTTTTTACATGGGTGCTGGAGATCTGAACCCGACTCCTCATCTTCCCAGCTCTGAAAAATTAACTCTGAAAAACCAGTCCTCAGCTACTGAATGGTAACATGGGGTGGTGGTATAAATCCAAGTCAGTGCTCCTCATATCTACTTACTTTAATCTCCTCTCCCCACTGAGTCAAACATCTGCTAGAGAAAGGCATTATCTGTCTCTGAACAGCAGGTTAAGACAGCAGCAAAACTCTTCTATAATAATGAAGAGGGTGTCTGAGTCCTTGAGTTCCCCAGAGACTGGATATCCATCTCCAGAAAGGGTCTGCCATTTGTTGTAACAGCGGCCCCAAAGTCTATCAGTAATGAGCCAACTGACTGAAAAAGGTACTTTGTGGTAAAGCACGATGTTCTGTCCTTTGGCCGGGGGAACCAAGTGTCCACCGGCAATGATGTTCACGCATCTGGTTCGCTCTGCCCTTCTTCTGATGACTCTTCAGCCCTGCAACTCTACAACGTTAAGGTAATTTAGACGAGTAATGAGTCCGCAAGTATAGCTGACAGCCGTGGCTGGACCTTCTGCAGAAGCATGGCTACCTCCTTAGGCTGTGAGGAAGGGTAAATGCACGGGCCTTTGTGCACAGTCCCCGGCTATTCCTGCAGGAAAGGCCAAGGACGCCACAGCACGCTGCCCTTCGCGGCCACAAGATGGGGTCCGGCTCAGACGCCTGAGCGGCCGTTGCACCTCCGCTGTCTACAGAGGCCACGCCCCCTCACTCCCCTTCCCCGCGGCCGGAGGTGGTGGGCGTGGCCTGGGCGGTGCTTGCCTCGTGATGGCAGCGGCCGCTGTAAGCACCGCCAAGCGGAGCCTGCGGGCCGAGCTGAAGCAACGTTTGCGGGCCCTAAGCGCGGAGGAACGGCTGCGCCAGTCTCACCTCCTCACTCAGAAGGTACGAGAAGGCTGCAGGAGTTAAACGCCTGGCAGCTTGGGCTCGGCTCGCGAGTCTGCGCAGGCGCTCCTCTCCCCCTTGCGCGCGCGCGCGCCCTCTTAGGCGCATGCTCGTGGCTCCAGGCTGGCTTTGTAGGGCAGGGGGCGGAGCCTGTGGAGAGCCCGGGAGCCTCTGAGCGTGGTTGGACCCAGGCATGTTTGCAGTTATTTTGTTATAGTGAGGAAAGGCCTTGCTGTGAGCTTAAGTAGATGCAGAGAATGTCCAAACAGGCCCGCACTTCCCGGTTTACAATTAATTCATTCACATGTGTTTAACACCTAGTAGTAAACCATTTTGCTGTGTATTGGGTTATAGAGAAGAAAAAGATGATTGTTGCCTTTTAAAGGATCAGAAGATCTAGCAGACGGAGCAGTCCAAAGAAAAATTGTAGGACTGGGGATTAGGCTCAGTGATACAGTTGTTTAAAAATGTGCTACATTTTATTTATCCCATACTTAGAACACTGAATGGGGTCTGTTTTTCTAGTTTTAAATTGCGTCTTCCTTTATTTACTAGAATCTGAATTTATCTGCGGGTAGATTAATTTTCATGTTGTGAGTTAACTGCATCCGCACAGTCTGGTTTCTGCTTCTGAGTTAGGGTTGTGTCTGGAACTCGTTGCCTTTTTTCTTACTTTTTCTTCTCAACTTTTTTAGATTATGTCCTTAATTTTTTTTTTTAAGAAAATACAAAGTGATTGACAACCTTTATTTTTAGTTCATATGTATGAATGTTTTGCCTGTATGTGTGTAAGTGCATTTGTGTGTGTGTGTGTGTGTGTGTGTGTGTGTGTGTGTGTGTGTGTGCATGTGCGAATGGGCCTGGTGCCTTTGGGGGTCAGAAATGGGTGCCAGATCCCCTGAAAATATAGTTAAGGATGGTTGTAAGCCCCCATGTAGGTGCTATAATTTGTTTAGTTTGGGTTTTTGTTTTATTTTGTGTTTTGTTTTGTTTTTGGTTCAGGTTTTTCAAGACAGGGTTTCTCTGTATAGTCCTGGCTGTCCTGAACTCCCGTTATAGACCCGGCTGGCTTCGAACTCACAGAGATCCGCTGGCCCCTGCCTCCAGAGTGCTGGAATTAAAGACATGTGCCACCACTGCCCGGCGTAGGTGCTATCATTTGAATCCAGGTTGTCTGCAAGAGCATTAAGTGCTCTTAAACTGCCGAACCATCTCTCTAGACCCAACAACTCCCATTTGACTGCTCAATTGATTTCAAATTTTTAATTTTTTTCTCATTGTGTTCAACATCTATGACATCCAATCTAGAGTTTTTATTTATGTATTATATCTTGTGGCTTAGTTACAGTTCTATTGCTGTGAAGAGATACCATAACCAAGGCAACTTATACAAAGAAGCATTTAATCTGGGGCTTGCTTATAGTTTCAGAGGGCTAGACTGTAATCATGGTGCGAAGCAGGGAGGCATAGTGCTGGAGAAGTAGCTGAGAGCTTACATCTTATCTATGAAATGGAGGGAGGGAGAGAGGGAGAGAGAGAGACTGACTGGGTTTGTCATGGACTGTGGGATTTTGAAACCTCAAAGCCCACTGTGGAGATCTCTGTGATCATAGAGGCCAGAAGAGTGTCATCAGTGTGAAGCAAGAAAGAAGCCCGCCTCAACACAACTCAGTGGTGGGTGTTGGTTCAAACTTTTAGAGTCTGACAAAGGACAGTTTATTTTAGGCATACTTAAGCACAGCACATTTTGAGAAAAAGTTTTTTGGTGCTTATTAATTCAGTCCTGTCTATGCAACAAAGCTTAAGACATGGTTACATTGAAACTCTTTCCAAGGTACATGTGTCCTCTCCCATTAAGATGGATTGTATAGATTGACTCCATGTGACATGTTAAAGGTCTGGTGTGGTGTTGGTCATACAGATAGTGCAAAAGTCACCACCCTATTAACCACTTCTGCTCCCATTTGTAAAGTACATGTGACAGCTCCCATAAAGATGGGCTCTACTGGCTGAGAAACAACGCTCAAGATAAGGGTCTGGGGAGGATGACTGAGACAAACATAAGAATATGGGAGAACCATGTGTGGTCTGGCCATAGAGGTAGTTCAGAGGTCATCAGGCTATTAACCAAATCCATTCCCAGCCTTCTGGGCAGAAAAGAAATGATACATCTCTTCCTTTGAAGAGACAAGCCTTAGTGTTTAACGTTCAGGGTTTCTCAGTGCTTATCTGTGAGCACAAGGACTTTGTGCTCTCTACAGCCCACCTAGAATGTCACACCTTCTACAAGAAGGTACACATCTCCTAGCCCTTCTAAATAGTTCATCAACTGAAAACAACACATTCAAATGGATGAGCCTATGGTATCCATTCTCATTCAAACCATTACGTCTTGATTACTAGTTTTCCTCTGGATCTTTCAGGAATTCTTGTTAATTAGATAGTAAAAAGTTTAGATTGATCTTCTGTGTCTCTTAACATTTTTTTTTTCTTTCTTCGCTAATTTGTCTCCCCATGCAGGATTTCCTCCTAGATTGTTTTCATTTTGTTAACCATGTTTTTTTTTTGGGGGGGGGCGTGGTTTTTTTGTTTTGTTTTGTTTTTTGTTTTTTGAGACAGGGTTTCTCTGTGTAGTTTTGCCCCTTTTCCTGGAACTCACTTGGTAGCCCAGGCTGGCCTCGAACTCACAGAGATCCGCCTGGCTCTGCCTCCCGAGTGCTGGGATTAAAGACGTGTGCCACCACCGTCTGGCCTAATCATGGTTTTAGTTTCCCATAATCATTTCTTACTGATTCCTTTCTATAGCAGCCTATTGATGTTTTATAGATTCAGTTATTGTTTTCAGCTTGTCTAAGAAAACTAATTAGAATTAAAAAATAATCTCCATTCTTTGAATTATCTGTTTAGCAGTGAATCATATTTTCTTTTCATTTTAAAAATCTTTCTATTTTGTATTTGTATTTTGGCTTTTCAAAATGGTTGAAAATCATTTATTGGCTATGTATATTTATGTCCTTTGGGGGTACTGGGCATCAACTGAGAACCTTGTACATGGTAGTGAAGCCTCCTACCACTGAATGCAACTCCTGGCCCTTCTTGTCTATACATACTTAGGAATGAAAGTGTGTTAGCTACAAGATGCCTCCTGTTTTTGTAGACACTGGTGGGAATTGTCAGGGAAGGATGGATTCTGCCTGCCTCCTGTGTCCATGTTTTAGCGCTGCGTTGTCTGTAAATGCTGTCTCGTCCTCCCCCTGTCTTCCAGGAATTAGTCAAATTTCTGCTTTATTGTCTTCATTGTTATGACAGGTTTCATTTTTTCCTCTCTTCTTAACAAGTAGCATGTAAGTGGGCTTGAGGCAGGAAGGCAAATGCGTATGCATAGTCTCACACCGAATTGTAGCTGTGTGCCTTACTGCTTATTCAGCTCTTGGGTTTCTATCCTCTGCTTTAAAGAGATTAAGAGAAATGCTTTCTCATATAGTAAGTGGTGTCAAAGCCTTGGGCCTCCTGCAAATCTGGGTTTCCCCTTTCCATTTGCTGCACTTATGCCAAACCTTCTAACAGCTTTACAGCTTTTCAGAAACCGGGGGTTGACTCTTTTCCTCAGCCCTGGTTCGGTGTGCTTTGCTGCACTTCTCTCTTCCCTTTGTATTACATGTAATTTGGCTTTCTTTACTGTGTCTTTCTGCCAGTCATATTTGTAAGCTGTGTTTGTATTATCCTTCTCTTCTTAGCTTGGAGGACAGGGGAGAACAGAAAAGGAATGGAGTTTAAAAAGGGAGTTAAGGGCCAACTTCTGAGTCTGGATAAGTTCCTAGGGTTTTGAGCAAAACTTAGCTCCCTTTGCCTGATGAGTGATTCTACTAAATAAGGATTCTTACACCAGGAGCCCCTTAGCCTCATTTTAATGAACTTTCGGAACACCCACTTGAACGGAATAGCATTGGTAGAGACTTATAGGGCATGTTCTCTGTGGGAGCTTGTGGACTGGTTCCGAATCCTTCATTTAGGACACATAAGCAGTGATTGACTCACGACTTAACCTCCTACAGACTGAAGTGCTGAGTTGTGTATCACTCTAAATGTAGTAAAGCTTCTGCAGAGGTCAGGAAGGTTAGATCTTGGCTGGGCTTAAAGGGGTAAAAATTGGTGGGAGAAATGCCAAACAGTCCAAGGACTGGAAAATTGGTGAGATCCAAATCTCAAAGAGAAAATAAATCAAAAATCCTCTATTAAGTCTCTGACATGTACTGGAAACTGGGATCACATGTGGAATTCTAAAGATAGACAGCTTTTCCACTTCATGTCTTCTCAGTGAGTTTCCATACAGACAACAGGCCTACCAGAGAGGAAAAGGGATCATCAAATATGCAAATCTTGAGTATGGAAATAAAAGCCAGGTATCAGGACATAGCATTCACTCACTGTATCACTTTACTTGGAAGAGGCTATGACAAAAGGGGGAAATTGGTAGGAGGAGTTACTAGTTTATGAAAAATATAATCTTAAAAATTATAATTGCCATCATTTCCTACTTAGGTGATTGCCCACAGTCAGTATCAAAATTCCAAAAGAATTTCCATCTTTTTGAGCATGCAAGATGAAATTGACACGGAAGAGATCATCAAGGACATTTTCAAACAAGGCAAAATCTGCTTCATCCCTCGGTACCGATTCCAGAGCAATCACATGGACATGGTGAAATTAGCATCACCTGAAGAGATCTCTTCACTTCCCAAAACATCCTGGAATATTCATCAGCCTGGTGAGGGAGACGTTCGGGAGGAGGCCTTATCCACGGGTAAGGCATCATTTCTCACATCAAAACACTTACCTAGATGCATCCTATATCATCTGATCTTGGATGTAATGTCATCAGAATTTTTCTTCTTCTAAAAATCTCCCCCTGTGTGTGTGTGTGTGTGTGTTTGTGTGTGTGTGTGTGTGTGTGTGTGTGTGTGTGTGTGTGTAAGACAGGGTCTGGCTTCAAACTCTCAACTCCTGCCTCTTCAGTGCTGAGCTCATGGGCACATACATTTCCTCTCTGGCTTCTACCAGATATTTTCATCTATTTTATGTCAGATCTGTTGTATGTATAGGAAGATAAGACCCTGTACCTGAAAGGACTCACATTGTACCTGGGGAGACAGAAATTTTATACTAATAAAGTATCCCAACTTGTACTATGCATCAAATATAAGTATCAATCAAAAGATACTGAATATTGAAATCATTGAAGCTCAGGGTTTGGTCTTGAAAATGTGCATTCTCACCACTGGCTTATTCATTTTCATCCTCTGCTCTTTATCCATGCTGTGTTTATGGCATCAGTGACTTTTGCTCCCAGGACACTTGCAACCCAAGTTGCAGTGGCATGGAGATGAAACTTTGGAGTCTCTCAGTTGTGGTCTGAGGCAGAGATCCCTGCTGTTGTTTGTAGAAATGTCTGAGCAGGCAGGCTTGCTGTTTGTTACCTCCCAACATCATATTCTCAGTGTGCAGTTTTGCTTGCATCAGCAGTTTAGACTATGGCAAGTTCAGTGCTGGAGCATAAATCCAGCTTCGCAGTGTTTGAGACGAGCTGATTGGAGCTCAGATTGTCTTTGCTGCAGCCTTTGTGGTTTGTCTCTGTTATCTCAGTTTTAGAAGGGAGTAAGCTTGTGTGCCCTGAGTTGCAATGATAAGTTCTCAAGCAAAAATTTCACATAAGGCATTCTAGTTTTAGGTTTACAACATAATAACCCAGCTGGCAAATGAAATAGAGAGGCTGTATCTTTACTGAATATAAAGTGAGAGCTGCCTAGACAATTCGATCAGCCGGGGGGTTCTTCCACTGAGAATTTATAGTCTGATTCAACCTTAATCAACTTGGCTTAAGTAAGTGGGATAATAGTGGTACAGAAACAGAAGACTACACAGAGCAGCCAGCCCTGAATGTCTCTGGATTAGTGTCTTTAGGAGTCAATCTGCCTTTGCTGTGACTCTGTATCTGTGATGGCTTCATATCCACTGTGGCCCATGGCAGCTTGGACTTGGACATCATCTTATCAGCTAGAATTCCCAGCCTAAAGAGCATGTCTTTTCTGGTTTTCTAACAGTTTCAATAAAATCCTGGTCCTAACTCTCATTGCCCCAAGTGGTCATCTCCAAATTAATCACTATGACTAGACCCGGAATTGGTTTGCTGGCTCAGGCCTGGGTTGTCATTGACCATTTCTGACTTTTTTTGTGTGTGTGATCAGGGAATAGGACCTATAGCCACCTCTCCAGCCCTCCTCAACTACTGAGCTGAATTGTGGGGCTGAGGTGAGAGTGACATGTGTTCTAGAACAAAGAGAATGGATATGACATTGTCAGAAGTCAAACTCCCCTATACTATTAACAATTTATGAGGTCCTATAGAAAAGACTCTTGCCTATAACTTTTAGTGATGGTTTTTCTGTCTGATTTTTTTTTTTTGAGTATTATTTTCCTTTCAACCTGGTAGACTCAGTCCAGGCAGGTCCAGTCCCTTCCTCCCAGGTCGAGCCAAGCGACCCTGCATAAGTCCCAGGTTTCAAACAGCCAACTCATGCAATGAGCACAGGACCCGGTTCTACTGCCTGGATGCCTCCCAAACAGATCAAGCTAATCAACTGTCTCACCATTCAGAGGGCCTGATCTAGTTGGGGGCCCCTCAGCCTTTGGTTCATAGTTCATGTGTTTCCATTCATTTGGCTATTTGTCCCTGTGCTTTATCCAACCTTGATCTCAACAATTCTTGATCATATAAACCCTCCTCTTTCTCACTAATTAGACTCCCGGAGCTCCACCCGGGGCCTAGCCGTGGATCTTTGCATCCAGATCCCTCAGTCATTGGATGCGGTTTCTAGCAGGACAATTAGGGTGTTTGGCCATCC